ATGGATGTAGACGAAAACAGTGACACAGCCATTACCGCTTATGATGATGAGGCTGATAGTGAAGATAATGACAATTATGGAGGTGATGGCAATGGTGACGATGGTGATGGAGATGGTGATGATGGCGATGATATGGAAGGAGACCAGCACTCGGTAACAGAGCTAGAACTAAGTCGAGAACTTGAGCCAGACTCCGATTTTGAACAAGAACAGCCACAAGCACAGACCCCCAACCAAAATGAAGGAAACGACCATTCCCAAGGTGGTTGGGGCATTGACACCAATTCTCAAGGTGGATTTGGAAATGACAGCAACTCCCAAGGGGATTTGGGATATGATGACAACCCACAGGGTGGTTGGGGATACAATGACAATCCCCAAGGTGGATGCCGTAAGAGGAACTGCAAGAACAAGAAAGGCAAAAAAATTAGTAAAGGCATTAACACGAGTAGCCATAATTCTCAAGATAATTGTAGTAAGAACAATTACCAGAATAATAAACAGAGTAATTCTGCTAATAACAGCAACTTCATCAATAAACGTCATTATAATTATGAAGATTTTATGAAGAGCGGTAACAACAATTCTGACTTCAATAACCAGAACAATTATACCAGCAATAACAAGAACAATTATAGCAGTAATAACAAGAACAATTATAACAGTAATTTTAAGAGCAATAATCTTAATTATAACAATAACAACTACAATAATAATAATAAGAACAACTACAATAATAATAACAACAACAACTTCAATAATAATAATAGTAATAATAAGAACAATAACAACAACAACAACAACAACAATAACAATAATAAGAACAATAATAACAAGAATAATAACAAGAATAACAACAAGAATAATAACAACAACAACAATAATAAAGAACAAAAGTAAGTTGCAGAAAAAATATTGTTGTAGAATAAAACATATTAAGTAATTTAGTGTTAAGTTCTAAATAACATTAAATTTTAAGTTAACTAAAGGAATGCTTTATCATTTAATTATGAAAGCGGGAAGCTGCGTGAATATTTGTAAATCTTGCATTTCATTAACTTAATTAATGAAGTGCAAGACATTGGCGTGACTCCATAGATCTGGTAGCTGGCACTCTTGACCTTATTGCAATGGCACTCATAGACAAGTGAATGATTGGACTTCTCAAACCCCCATCATACATTTTGCAGTACAGTAGTATTAAGTACAATACCATATTATGTGACATTACCCAAAATACATTCTAATTAAAAACCCTCTCATTAATCTTGAGCCCGCTGAAATGCTGAGCAAAATTGTGGCTTCATAAAAAATACAAATATGTACTTTGAAATCACTGTAATCAGGTCTTATGTTATTTTGTAATCAGGTCTTATGTCACAAATACATTACAGTACTTAATAAGCATCTAGGATGGATAAAAATGTCATGTCCATTTTACGTGGGGATTGGGTTACACATTTGTAATTTTCTTTACTCTACTGCTTCACTTTCCCGTGTTATGAATTTATTTACTCATATATTCTAAAAAGTAATTCTTCTCCTAAGAAATCTTCTGCCTGCATACCATATTTCATGTTTTATGTGATCAGTAATATCTTTTTTTATTGTTTGTATCAGGAATGATGATGGAGCTAGCACCCCAAAGAAAGTTGATTTCTTCAATCAATTAAAAGGCATCTTCAAATCATCTTTTAAATCCCATGAGGCTGGTCCTTCACCAATAGATAGTCTGGTGCTGAGATTACACTATCGTATGGGGGTCTGCTTGTTCCTGATTGCATACAATGTAGTCCAGTAAGTTTCTCATAAGTGTTAATATAATGTGGTTGCTTTCCATTCCAGATTAAAGGTTGTGTAGATAATAATAATTTCTGGTGTCCAGGGCAGAATTACTGTACTAGGCATGTACCGAGGTTTTCCCTGGGTGAACCAACTGATCTTTTCTAGGATTTAACCGCAACAGTTGTCTAACTCCCAAGTATCCTGGGACTTGAACCTGGGATCCTAGATTGTAAGTCAAGAACATGAATTACAGGTATTATTATAGCCCACTTTACTACAGGACCCTTTAATAAAGAATTTATTTTAGTATGGTACATGATAAAGTGTTAAATAAAAGTGAATTTTTTTTTTTAGAATGCTTAAAATCTTGGAGATATATGTTAGGAAGGAGAGCGGTTATTGAGAAGATAGATATATGGTATTTATGTAACTAATCTAATGTCAGTTTGACTATACAGTAAAAATTAAGCAAATATAAATGTTATCTGAAGAATATGTTCCACTGACATTTCAAATTATATATTTTTTGGGTGTTTGTAAGAGAAAATTTGAGTGCATGAATACACTTGTTTTGCATGTGATTTTTGTGTTTCCTTAGATGTGTTATTGTTAAAAACTTTATTTTATTTAAACTTCCTTTTTTTCTTTTACTTGACACTAAGAGAAGGGTGTACAGTTAAAATTGTCTTTAGACAGCACACAGCCCCTCAGTTTAAATCCCTAAAAATGCTAAAAATACACTCCATCCACACATTCTCTGGTATTCTTTACACTTCTAAAGCCTTATTCCTAAATTCTAATCCTGTTTTGAAACACTTCCTAGATATAATAGAATCCATGAAGATCACACTAGTCAAAAGACTTTTGATCCTACAGTATATCCTCTAAATTGCTAAAAAAATAAAGGTAAATGTTGGCAACAACAAAAATGATGGGTTAAGTGAAAAAATGTGTGAAATTTGAGTGAAAGAGAAGTATTAGAAGAAGTTGGGAGGTAAACACTTACAACTTGAGGTATGTGACTGGCTAAAGACGAATATACGAAAAGAAATTACTGCACTTAATTTTTGTCTAGTTGATCTTTAATTTTTTTTTTTTTTAGGTCTAATTGGTTTTTAGGAGATAGTATCCACTGTGTGTCTCATTTTAATGCTGAGGAAAAGGTCAAGTTTTACATAAGGAACATCTGCCTCTCTTATCCCTATGTCTGTGAGGTACGGACTCAGTTTTATGTTTTGGTGAATTTTTAACATAACCTTTTCAATTCATTGCAATTAAACTTCAGTTGGTTTTGTCAAGTTATGCACAAGAGGTACAAGAACTAAATTGCCTGCATTGCTCTTGATTATACATGTCAAGTGGAATGCTTTATAAAAATACAAATTGGTAGAGTAGATTTAAAACTTTAGCTTGGAATTTACCATAAATTATGTGGTCCAAGAAACTGTAAATGCACAGTTACCAGCTGTAGCCTTATTGCAATGAGGTGGTGGTTGTTGCAAATTCGCTTGTAGAAGCTGCAGCAGAATTTTTGGGAAATGTATCTTGTATTAAGTATTTGTATTTTTTTGTACTGCACTGTAATTATCAATCTATGAATACTTATTTAACCCTCTAAGTTTTCACTTGAACATCTATAAAATTAGTTGTGTATCATAGTGGTTTTGCAAGAATGTATCATTTAATAATCAAAATCTGTACTGTACTTTCCATATATAACCCATTGTACCACCTTTTATAGATAAAAAATAAATAAATAAATAAAACTAATATTAATAATCAAAATAATAGTATTATATCAATACTGGTATCAAGTAATTAGATCATAATTTATGACAAGATTTTTTGATAATGGCCTTTATTTTCTACAAGTTGTGCTACTTTTTGCAAATCTTTGCTTCTTGGCAATAGAGTAATGTTTTCTTTTCACTTGATGCCCTTAGTGTTTCACACATTTTATCACACACAGAGATCACACTAACGTGATGCATCAAATGAACAAATCCACAAGGGCCGTGACGAGGATTCGAACCTGCGTCCGGGAGCATTCCAGACACTGCCTTAATCAACTGAGCTACGACAGGGTAAATTAGATCGTAGCCTCTCCCGTAGCCTCTCCGAGGCTACGGGATCCAGTAAGTTTAGTAGAACTTCGGTTTCAACCCTTTTACCCTGTCGTAGCTCAGTCGATTAAGGCAGTGTCTGGGATGCTCCCGGACGCAGGTTCGAATCCTCGTCACGGCCCTTGTGGATTTGTTACACATTTTATCTTCATGTTATTGCTTTATTGTTCAGGAGGAAGAGATTGCTGGAGTCAAAAAAGGTGTCTGCCCCCGGCAATACATCCTTTTCTATCGTTGGATATACTTCTCTTTCCTGCTTCTGGCTGGGCTGTATTATATTCCACGGATAATTGCCAAACAAGCTGAAAATCCACGGCTTCGGAAACTTATGACTGATCTGGCTCAAGGAGAAAATAGGTGAGAAGATTTTTGTTTGGAAATTTTGCAAAATTTGCAAATTTTGTTTACTATGCTCTGTAATCTTCTCGTATATCTGCATTACATCTGGGTGACAGGATATCATAAGCCTTTAATTAATTTGTCAAAATGCATTTTATGTATATTTGCTCTTATTATTACTAATGCTAAATACTATATCTGTACTGTTGCTAAAACTATAGATTCTATAATGTAGTAATCTGTGCCTATTACCTTTATATTGTCTATCATTATTAAATCTCTTGAAACATCACATTGTTAGCATATTTTTAATTTTGTATTAAATTACCCATTATACTCATACAATTTTTCAACTGAATTATTCTAAGTTTTGCCTGAAATGCTTTGTGTATTATTGGCTTTATTTAATATGCAACCTCTTTACCTGTATTATGTTCTTATTTATGCATGTTTTATGGCAAAAAATTATAGACCAGTTGCACTAACATCACACATAATTAAAGTTTTTGAAAGAGTGATTAGAAATCAAATTTCTAGTTTTATGGAAAATAATGACCTATATAACCCAGGACAACATGGATTGAGTGGGAAAGATCCTGACTGTCACAATTACTCAACCACTATGACAAAATCACAGATGCCTTAGAAGAAAAGCAAAATGCATATGTTGTATACACAGACTTTGCAAAGGCATTCAACAGATGTGACCATGGAGTGATGGCACACAAAATGTGGTCAATGGGAATAACTGGCAAAGTAGGATGGTGGATACTCAATTTCCTGTCGAATAGAACACAAAAAGTAACATTCAACTATATAAAATCGAGTCCAAGCGCAGTTAAAAGCTCTGTACCTCAGGGTATAGTCCTTGCACCACTACTTTTCCTTATCTCATATCAAATATAGACAAAAATACAAGTCACAGCTTTATATCATCCTTTGCAAATGACACAAAAATCAGCATGAAAATTACCTCTGCTGAAGACATTAAAAAACTACAAGCAGATATTAATAAAGTTTTTGACTGGGCAGAGAAAAAACACTATGTTTAACAGTGATAAATTCCAGGTACTCAGGTACAGTAAAAATGAGGACCTTAAACATAATACAAGGTACATAACACAATCAAATTGCCCATTGTAGGAAAACAGCATGTAAAGGATTTGGGAATAATAATGTCTGACGACCTAACATTTACGGAGCATAACCAAGCAAATACGTACTATATTGCATCAGCCAGAAAAATGATAGGATAGATTACAAGAACTTTCAAATCCAGGGAACCCATCACATTGGTTGTACTATTCTAATCTAATCTAGACTATTCTAACAGTCTCCGTGGTGTAGTGGTAAGACACTCGCCTGGCGTTCCGCGAGCGCTATGTCATGGGTTCGTATCCTGGCCGGGGAGGATTTACTGGGCGCAATTCCTTAACTGTAGCCTCTGTTTAACGCAACAGTAAAATGTGTACTTGGATGAAAAAACGATTCTTCGCGGCGGGGATCGTATTCCAGGGACCTGCCCGAAACGCTACGCGTACTAGTGGCTGTACGAGAATGTAACAACTCTTGTATATATCTCAAAAAAAAAAAAAAAAAAAAATCATTTGTGATGTTCCATCTTGAGTATTGCTCAGTACAGTACTCACTTTCCCCCTTCAGAGCAGGAGAGATTGCTGAAATAATGGGAGTATAAAGAACATATACAGAATACATAGTTGCAATAAAGCACCTAAATTATTGGGATCGTCTCAAAGCTCTCCAAATGTACTCACAAGAAAGACGACGAGAGAGATATAAAATAATATACACGTAGAAAATACTGGAGGGCCAGGTCCCAAATCTACAAAGTACAATAACAACAAACTAGAGTGAACGATATGGATGAAAATTCAGAATAGAACCAGTGAAGAGCAGGGGTGCCAGAGGCACAATCAGAGAACACTGTATAAACATCAGAGTTCCGTGGTTGTTCATCCTCCCAGTGAGTACAGTGGCACCTCGACTTACGATTGCCCCTAATTACGATAATTTTGAGTTATGATGTAAATTTCATCGAAAAATGCAACTCGACATCCAATGGTGTCGTCGACTTAAAATATTTGTTGGTACACGTTCAGGTCGACCGAGCGCGTGGTTCCCGGTCACGCAGCAGACCTGCCTCAGTTTACTACAGCTGCCTGCTTAGTGACGATCGCGCCTATAAGAAATTTCGCTTTTGTGGTGATTTTTTTCATTTTGAACATTAAAGTAATTATTATATATCACGCCATGAGTCCCAGGAAAGTCAGTGGTAAGGCTCAACATATGAGATCCCATGTAAAGATGACCATAGAGCAGAAACAAGAGATCATTCTTAAATATGAAGATGGTGTGTGGGTTGTTGGACTGGCTAGGCAGTACAACAAATCTCAGTCAACGATATCCACCATACTGGCTAAGAAAAAGGACATTATGGGTGCTAAAGTGATGCATCATTACAGACAAATGTTAAAATGAAGAGAGAAAAATGTCTCTTGACAAATTTGTAGTGAGACAAACAAGCACTGAACCACAACCAGGTCCTAGTGGTAGTCAGGCAAAACGTAGGAGAGAGAGTATCCCAGAGAAAACATCACTGCCTGATGTGATAATGTAAGGGGACTCCCCTTCCAAACAGTAACAACTCTCCTCCTCCTCTTCATCACCATCTTCCATATGCCATCAAGAGTCCTCCGTAAAGGTAAGATAAACTTAGGTACTGTATTGTAATTAGAAAAAAAATTGTATTCAGTATAAAATGTATTTGTATGTTAATATTTTGGAGGGTGGGGAACGGATTAATTCAAATCCCTTTATTTCTTATGGGGAAAAATCGCTTCGACTTACGATATTTTGACTTACGATCCGTCTCTGGGAACGGATTAGCATCGTAAGTCGAGGCCCCATTGTATTAGAAATATTACCAGAACAACCAAGAACAGCTTCAAGAGAAAATTGGATAGTTTTCTTCAAGAAGTGCCAAATCAACCGGGATGTGGTGGATATGTGGGCCAGCAGGCCGCTCCAAGCAACAGCCTGTTGGACCAAGCTCTCACAAGTCAAGCCTGGCCTTGGGCCAGGCTTGGGGAGTAGAACTACTCCAGGAATCCCATCAAGCAGGTATCCTCCCAAAAAACTACAGTCTACAAGCTCCAAATTTAGCCTCAGCATGTATTTTGACAACCTTTTGTTTTAGAGCAGGTTTTTTTTTTCAATAACTCGTAACCTTTACATATACAGCTCGACATTTACATATAAATTAGTGATCCTTTAATGTATTAAGAGTTTGTAAATTTTATGTGGTTTGTCTTGTATACTGTATGTACATTGGTTATAATATATGTTGTACACAAATGGTATTGTATATCAGTGCTGTATATTTTCCATAAGGCTGCTACATGTAATAATGTAGGGCATTTTGGGTAGATCTGAAAAATTACAATATGTTTGTGATAAAAGTTGAGTTAACATGGTATTACTAATATACAAAGTACAAGATAATTTAATAATAATGTAATGATGATAATTTATTTAGACAAAAGTACTGTATATACATAGAATACAAGAACACTGGAGGATACCTAGGCGAGACAAGTACAATGCCTAAAGCCACTAGCGTGCACAGCATTTATAGTGGAATATGAGCTTCAGTTTATAAGTAAAATATATGTAACTATATACATATTTATAATACCATTATAAAGAAATATTTTACCAAATGTTTTCAAAAACCTCACAGTCCTCGCCATTTGTTTATAAATATTTCTATTCAATTCCAGTGACCCTGTTATGGTACCAAAGATGTTATTTTTCAGTAAATAAATCAAATTTACCTATCATTAACCCCATCTTTATTTTAGATATGATGGATCCACCTGGGATAAAGACACGGAGATCATGCTGAAGTATCTGCAGAACCACACCTCCACACACAACACACTGTACATCTGGCATGTTGTGTGTCATGTGATAGCATTGGCTATTGATGTAGGGGTAATATTCTTCTTTGATTTTTGTCTCAATGTAAGTACAGAATTATTCTTTGCTAGTAATTACCTAAGTGTGTTATTACCTAAGTGTAGTTACAGGATGAGAGCTACGCTCGTGGTGTCCCGTCTTCCCAGCACTCTTTGTCAGTGACAGTGGAAGCATGCTCTCAGCCATTGACACTGCTACTAAATTCAGTAATTTCTTTGTATGAATTGCCACAAGTCTTGCAAGTGAGATCCCAGTAACCAAAATTAATGTAAATAAGTACAGAATCACACAGGCAACTATCACACTAGCATTATATAATTAACATCTGAAGAATTTGTTGGGATAGATATGGACTCAGGATGGCTGCCTGTTAGGTTGTTCCAGTTGATGAGAGAAACTGACAGCATGTTTCCACTGTTGCTGGCATGGATACTGGTTTTTATTTGTGTTACCATTGATTTTATTACACTTTTCATAGCACTGTATGAGCTCAGTTATCCTAAGCCTGTTGAGTTGGATATTTGGGTTATCAGGCAAAAATGGAATTCAGACAATTTTCTGGCAAAACTTCACCATATCTGGACAGAAATCGAGATAACCTGGGATTTGGTTGGATGCCTCAGACTGGCATTGAGTCTAAATCAAGTCCTGATAACTTTCTGCCAAACTTTACCATATCCAGACAGAAATCCAAAAAACCTGGAATTTTACCGCATAACTGGGTCATTGGGTTGGCATTGTGTGATACTGTATTAATCCCTTACAGCAGTGACACGAGACACGGGGTATAGATGGGGGAGGGTTATGTCAGGATAGGGGATAGTAGGGAGGGGACCATCTGTGGGATGAGAAGCATGTGAAGGTGCCTGTGATTACTGTATAACCAAAAATTATATTAGAACAATAAAAAATACTGTATATCAAATATAACAAATATAAATTTCTTAAAAACTGCGCATACAGGCAAGAGTAGTTCTCTGCTAAAATCAGGGGGATTTATTTTTCATCTGGCAGCTTATGTAGCAGGCCCCGTGGCGCAGTGGTAAGACACTCGCCTGGCGCTTTGTGAGCTATTTGGCCTGGGTTCGTATCCTGGCTGGGTAGGATTGACCTGGCGCCAAGCCTTGACTGTAGCCTCTGTTCACCCAACAGTGAATGGGTACCTGGATAAACAATTTGGCAGGTCGTATTCTGAGGAAAATTAGGATTAAGGACCTGCCCTGAAATGCTGTGCGTGTTAGTAGCTTTACAAGAATGTAAGAACTCTTGTACTGGTATGTATAAATACATAATGTGCCCCAACTGGACCCGTCCAAGCCCAGTCAACAACTGAGAGAACATGCCATGTGCTCTCTCCCCTTGCATTATACCATATTGTCTTGCCATTAGAAAAATTTTCTTAACTATTTTTGTTTTCGTAGTAACCTTGATAATTTTTTGCAAAGACTTCCCCATATCTGGCGAAGTCTGGTAGCAACAACAATCATCTAGGAGTTGTTAAAGAGAAAGAAAGTTGTGCTATGCATTAAAGATAAGCTACAAATTATTGAACTCTGTTGGTCACTCGGTTGGTTGGTTGACTGTGTAATTACCTAAGTTTAGTTACAGGATGAGAGCTACGCTCGTGTTGTCCCATCTTCCCAGCACTCTTTGTCATACAACGCTTTGAAATTACTGACGGATTTGGCCTCCACTACCTTCTCACCTAACTTGTTCCAACTGTCTACCACTCTAGTTTGCAAAAGTGAATTTTCTTATATTTCTACGGCAGCTTTGTTTCGTTAGTTTAAATCTATAACCTCTTGTTCTTAAAGTTCCAGGTCTCTGGAATTCTCCCTTATCAATTTTATCAATTACAGTTACTATTTTGTACGTAGTGATCATATTTTTCACTATCCTGTATGTAGTGATCGTAAGTAGTAATCATAGATTGCCTGTGAGGCTTCACTGGTTGAAGGGCCTTCGGTTGCTTTTCTTTCAAAATTAGAATCAAGTTTAGCTTGCCATCTGTGTTTATTGGCCTCTTTTATGATCAACTTTTTGGTTTGCCTCAGGTACTGATACATGCTTCCAACTTCTAGTGTGTGTGTGTGTGTGTGTGTTGCAAAGGATTTTGGTATAGGCACAAGTAATATATAATATATAATATCCTCTGATATAAGGAAACAAAGATGAATACATGGAAAAACATAACCAGTAGTTAAGGAGCATGCACTCTTATAAGGTGTAATAGAAAAACGTTGAAGCCTGCACACTGTGCAGAGTTGGATGAGGATGTGTAGAAGTGGTTTGCACAACACTGCACAGTTGGTATGACAACTCACAGTGCAGAAATAAGAAATGCTGCAAGCAGGTTTGCAGCCACCCTTGAAATACTGGATTTTAGGGCAAGTGATGGTTGGATTTCCAGGTTTAAAGTGAGGGATAATATTGTAATGAAGAAAAGTGAAGTCTCACCAGAAAGCCAAGAGCTTTCAGCCAGTGATGCTTCAACAGCTGACAATTAGAACTGACCTTATGAAGCTTGTAACAGTTCTATTGTTACGTAAAGTATGGTGACAAATAAACACAGACACTAAGATACTATATATATATTTGGTCGAATATACAGAAGTACACAGGTGATACTTTGGTGTGAGTTGAGCGCACTGAGCGTCGGTACAGTATCTCGCAAGTGTCTGCTCTAGACCACACTTGAAAGTTGACTAGTTAATGTTTGCTATTCTGCTGCTTATATGCTCGGGCAACACCTCACCTCATTCATCTCCAAAGGTTGACAGGAATATTAACAATGCATTTGGAGCGAGTATATTATTGGGATAATCTACTCGCTACAAGCTCATGAACAGTAATTTTAGTTTTGTGTTAGATTAGCTTACGTAACATTTCAAGATCTACAATATCAATAAAGATGAACAAAAACAAGGTAAGCAGAAGATTCTGTTTTAAATTATATTTTGTAATTATACTGTGTGTGTAGAAATTATAATCGATGTGGTACAAACAATTGGGAATACTGTATGTATATTTGTTTTAGGACTTTCCCAGTAAGAATTCCAGGGTCCTTCCCTATAGTCCGGATGAATGAGAGTAGTCAGTAGTTTGTTTTTGCTCTTTATTACCTTAGCATTGTCAGGTGCAGTGGAACCTTGGTTTACGAATGCCCTAGATTAACACTTTCGCGCTCACGGCGTTCAAAAAAAAATCATACCCTATGCGCTTTTGGCGGTTCGCGCGCCTACACGGTAAGACCGAAAAAGTGTACACTCTTTTGACTGTCCTGACAATAATTGAAGGCGCACGTATTTAAAATTGGTATCACTGTGTTCGCAATAAAATTGTCTATAATAACATACCTATAAAATGCCGCCAAAGCATAAGGACTATCAACACCAAATAAAAAACTATTCAGATCACTCGCCGAGAGCGCCAAACAGCAACAAAATGTTTCCACTCTCTTAATGGTTGCGAAGCCTACAGTTGTCCTACATCGCTAATTGTGGTATCATTGGAATCGCAATAAAATTCTCTACACGGACATATGCATATAAATATAGATTCAATGTCGTAGCCCACCCAAAACAGTGTGGGAAGTGGCCGAAGTGTTACCTGCGGCGGCATATCGGCGAAACTCGCTTTGAAAAGTGTATATTCAATTCACTGTCCTGACATTATTTGTAGATGTATGTATTTCATTTTTGTACCAATGTGCTCGCAATAGAATGTTCTATAAGAACATAAGTATTAAAGGTCACATAAGGATGCATTCGACCGGCAACATATATAAAAACTACGTCGATTATACTCGTGTCAATAATACAATTGTTTTACCACGATGATTGACTGCCACGCCGTTCTCTTTAATAAGCTGTTCGGCTATTAGAGAAAACGTAAATTTCATGGCAAACATTTGTAAACTATTCCCAAGTTGATCGGATAATTTTTTTTTTTTTTTTTTTTTTTTTAGATATATACAAGAGTTGTTACATTCTTGTACAGCCACTTGTACGCGTAGCGTTTCGGGCAGGTCCCTGGAATACGATCCCCTGCCGCGAAGAATCGTTTTTTCATCCAAGTACACATTTTACTGTTGCGTTAAACAGAGGCTACAGTTAAGGATTTGCGCCCAGTAAATCCTCCCCGGCCAGGATACGAACCCATGACATAGCGCTCGCGGAACGCCAGGCGAGTGTCTTACCACTACACCACGGAGACTGATCTGAGACTGTGTGGAAATGGATTTTATACAAATATTTTTTCTCGTGACTCCCGAGAGGGGCACGCGTGCGGTGTGATTAATAATATTGGTGACAACGACGGTCTGCTGGAATGCGCCAAAGTGTTAAGAGCTTTTTGGTATACGAAGTCAGTTTCCTTGTAAACTTTGACTTGGTGTACTAAGTTTGCCTTGGAATATGAATTGTCTGTTGATATTTGTATGGGCCGAGCATGTGGTTCTGCTGGGTGTGGGGCGAGGCACGCTCAGTTTACCAGTGCATTTTATCTAGTGACAACCGCGCTTGAATTCTCTGTGACGAATTTCATTGTTTTCGGCTTTTATGGTTTTTGAACATAAAAGTTCTTATTATATATCATGCCATGGGTTCCAAGAAAGTCAGTGGTAAAGTTCAACCTAAGAAAATAGTTGAGTAAAGGCAGTAGAGGATGTCACTTCCTCATTAAGAAAATGTGTGCAGTATGGGAAGAACTGCAGAGTTTCGTTGAAAAGACTCTTCCAGATAAAGCTGTAGCAGGCCATTGCATTAACCTTTTTAATGATAATGTGATGTCTCACAACAGACAAGTGTTAAAATGTAGGGAAAAACAAGTGTCTATAGACAGATTCTTAGTAAGGCAAGCAAGCAGTGAGCCACAACCAGGTCCTAGTGGTATGCCTGTATACCATAGGAGAGAGTACCCCAGAAATGGCATCACTGCCTGATGTTAGAGTATAATGGAGGGGGACTCCCCTTCCAAACACTAAACCTCTTTTCTCCTCACTGTCTTCCATACGCCAACAAGAGTCCTCAATAAAGGTAAGGTATAGTAAAAAATATGATTAGTATTCTGTATAAAATGCATTTTCAAGTTAATATTTTTGAGTTTATGGAACAGATTAATTCAATTTACATTATTTCTTTTGGGTTTATGAATTTATGGTGTACAAACCGTCTCTTGGAACGGATTAAATTCATAAACTCAGGTGCCACTGTACAGCTTTGTCATTTATTTGGAAATGGCCCCTATCCGGGGCCCGGGAGCTGGTGGCTGAGCTGACAGAACACTGTACGCGTGATCCTGTGGTCCCAGGTTCGATCCCAGGCGCGGCGAGAAACAATGGGCATAGTTTCTTTCACCCTATTACCTAGCCGTAAATAGGTACCTGGGAGTTAGTCAGCTGTCACGGGCTGCTTCCTGGGGGTGGAGGCCTGGTCAAGGACCGGGCCGCAGGGACACTAAGCCCCGAAATCACCTCAAGATAACCTCGAGAGGCTCCTGTATTTTTCTCGTTCTTATTTTTATAAGTGCCCACTGTAATATGATCCTTTGTCTCTATACAAGAACAGCTCAGCAGCTCTTATGGGCAAGCCACCACTGCATGTTTGCACAAGTGAAAATTGAACTTAAATTGTTAAGATGACAAAATTGTTCTTTACAACAAATCCTTGATACAAATAATTAGGAATTGAAATATTTAAATATACATTAAATAAAACTTGGGGAATGTTTCATAGGATGCAGTATGCTATGAAGATGAATACTATATAATGTTTGAAAATATAGACTTTAATTGAATTTATGTTCTTTAGATGTTAATACAGATTTGTGGCCAATGTTTTGTATCTTTTCACAGGGTCGCTTTTTGAAGTTGATTTATGCAGCATATCCTTTTGACCGTGATCCAGTATACTTCAAGGATGAGCTCTCTCGCACATTTCCTCCATTTGTATATTGTGCTATTGATACTCAAATGTTAATTAACAGTGAGCGAGAAGATCTGCTTGGATGTCATCTAATGCTGATGGAGCTATATGAGAAAATGTTCATCGTGATCTGGTTTTGGCTGGCAGTAGTAACGCTGTGCACAGCTTTGTCAGTAGTATGCCTTCTGCTGGTTGTACTTCCACCCTTCAATCGACTCTTTCTTAAAATGCACACAACCTCAAAAGATATCCGAAATATCAAGAGGAAAATATTAAAACTTTGTCCCTATGGTGACTTGTATGTTTTGTACTTGATGAAATGCCACAGGAGTGAGGCACAATTCATCATGTTTCTCAAAAAATTTGTCCATTATTCTGAAGACACTTTACAAGAGGTTGTGGTTCAAAGTGAAAACAAAAAATCATTGAATTGGAGGGAAAGGTTAACAAGCATAGAGAATATCACTAATTCCTCCAATACTGTGGAAAATGAGAGACTGTTAAATGATAGTCAGGATTTACCTCATCGTCAGCAAACATCAAATTTTCATAACAAGGATGATCATTTTCAGAATGTCAGTACTTCAAATCCATTTCCAAAACCTTGGTATCGCCCTCCTACCATACAGTCAAATGAAATTAAAGAGTGATATCCAGTAGTTTAAGCTTATGGAATCTTGAAATGGGTGAAATATTTAGTGGAAATTGTCTAGATATAATTGCATTGAAAACATTACTCAGGGATGTATATTGATACACAAATCCAATATTTAATAAATTTTACTTCAGAACATTTAATATCCAAAGTGTGAAATTGAAAGGTTCTGAAAAAACTATGGAATTAAAGGTCCATATAGACATTAAATGTTATGAAGATAATGGTAAAGTTCCAGATAATAACTTTTAGGACAAATTAATGGAGCTAGTTTCCTTTTTTGTCATATTAGAATGTTGTTTTATTTCTTGTCTGTTGATTTTGGGTAATTTACTTTGTGCATATCATTTGTTTTGAAAAACTGTTGGTTTCTAGTCCTTTAATGGTGATAGAAGTGTTTTTTTGGCAGGCAATCTATATGCTCTTATGAAAGGCATTCCAAAAGCATTATTAAATAATGTTCAGTGTTCCCTACACATGGTGTTGCTTAACGACTTCCAGACCTGACGAGTGTCATTTTGTAAAAGAAAAGCAAGGTTAAAGGAAAAGTGTAAAGAGTGCTAACTTAGGTTTATTATAGCTATACCACACTTGGCCTTGAGAACCCATGCACTGCTCATTAGTTCTTACTTAGGAATGATTCTTAAACTGTAACTACTGTATTGTATGTGCTCCGAGTAAGTAACCTCTGTTCAAAATGTTTTCCTGTATGCAGCAAGTAAGCATTAGTAGTGTTCAAAATGTTCTGTATAATATTTACTTTAGAAATTGTGTTCATTTTATTGCTCACTGTGCTGTGTAATATTAACCTCGTATACAGTACTGTATTTGTGACTTAAAATGTGCATGTTTAGTTTACTCGGTAAAAACCCATGTATTTACTGACATAAATTTCTTGAAGCATTTTCATAGTTGTTTAGTATGCCTAGTTGCTCAAATCACTTCTCTTTTAGTTAATGTTAGAAGGAATATGTTTTTTTTTACAGTGACAATTACTTATTTGGTTACCTGTAATATAGCTACTGTATATCAACTTATTTGTACTCCTTAAGATATTTATGGTATACTGTGTATTTTTTCATGAACCAACCTTAATCATTTTAATGTTCAGTTTTTATTCTGAACATTTTTGCAGTCTGTGAATTGTTGTTTCCCCTAATAATTTTCTGCTTAGTCATATATAATTTCATAATTAGGCTACTCCAGAGCCTAACTTGTGTGTATTTTATTTTGAATTTTTTGAAAAAACGTTCAAGAATATTAGAAACCTGACGAGTTAAGTGTTAAATATTCTTGGAATTATGTAATGTGCTCGTCACTGCAGCCACCTGTACAGTTGTCACTACAAGTTTGCAATTATCAGTTTAAAGTAATAATTTGCTTCTCCACTATTGTACCAAAAAGGACAAATTGTCAAAGATGTATCCTTACCTTTTGCTTTCATAACTGTATAACTGTTTAGTGATTATATATCGTATGCCAATTCTTTTTCAAATACTGTATTCATAATTTAAACTATAAAGCTCATATAACAGTTTTGAAAAATTAATAATTATAAGTGATTCTTTTAAGTGTCATAATGGCTCGAGTAGATGATTATCACAATTATACGAGTCCACCCAATTTAATTCACACTATGAGACTTGGTTCATCTTACTGTGGTTTAAAGTATTTGTCTGTAACTCCTTACATATTTGTTATACTATACAGAAAGCAATATAGATTTTGTTTATTGTGAAATGTTTTCCATTATTAGTTAAGCATATTAAAGGTTGAAATTATTATTTGTAGTCATATGAGTGTAAATAAGTACTTGATTGGCTTAACTGCATTTTTCAGAGTGACTATTAATTTGAATAGAATTTATAGTCTTTATAGAATATTTCTGTGCGTTACAAAGTACAAATCCTTCACTTAAGAGTACAAATTGCTCAGCAACAAGTAGGCTAAAATTAACAACCAAGTTATTTACACATGAAATACAATTGAACAAACGTCTTTAACTTTTACGTTACTCAATATTACCTACACACAGAAATCACAATAACGTGATATATCAAATGCATAAATCCACAAGGGTCGTGATGAGGGTTCGAACCTACGCCCGGGATATTTCCAGATGCGCCTTAGTCAACTGTACCACAGCCGTGTCATGGTACAGTTGACTAAGGAGCATCAGGGAACATCCAGTGCGTAGGTCCGAACTTTCATCAAGGCCCTTGTGGATTTGTTCAATATTACCTAATCTCTCACTTTTTTATATGGCGAAGATTCTTTAGAAAAAAGTTTGCAGCAGTGTTTATACTCGCTGAATTTCAGAGCTCAGCAATGTACATACTGTATTTGTGTTTATCTTTTTCAAACAGGTATGTGGCATTACAATTTTTTTTACTGTAGATGGTTTAATTTTAAATTTTCTTAGTGTTATTGTCTGCAATTAACCTCATTTTGTCAAAAGCCTACTTGTTAAGCTAAAATTTTGTAAAGGTTCATGAGATGCTTTCCTTAAATCTTTTGTATAGGATCCATTAATGGTTATGATTTTGAAAATAAAGGAATTTGCAGCTGTGTATCTGAAATTTGTTTTGTTTTCCGTCATTTATCAGAACATTGGCATAGCTGTGTTTGGTTTTCAATGGACCAAGATGTTCAAATCTTCGATGACAAATTCTAGTAATTATATTTCATCTTTGGTGGGGGGAGGGGGTAACTCTCTCTGGTCAGGACAGAAATTGTACATGTAAATTCACCCATTTCCATGACATCCTTCATGTGTAAAGTTCTTGAAAGGATTATTATTGACAGGTTGATAGCTCAACTCTGAAATCAATGTATGGTTTCCTTGCTTTGCTGAATACTTTATCAACCAGTGATAAAGCTCTCATGCATATTATATTGAGCTTCAAACTGCTTTTGACACAGCTAATTACGAGTTTATCTTGGAACAATTAGCCTCTTTTTGTTGTCGAAACTACTGACATGCAAAAAGAACATTTGAGTACCACATCTGCTTTGCTCTCTTTGAGGGTATAAAAATATCAGTTTTATGCCACTGTTGACCATGGTACACACAATTTTTAATGCTTTGATGCAAAATTGTTGATATGCCTAAAGCTGTAATAGCCATCATCTGCTATCCCCACACGAGAACTAATAACCCTCTATATATAAAAGTTTTCAAAATTAAAATAAAATCAACACATTGGAACCCAGGGACAACATATACCTCAGAGTAGGTATCAGAACAGTGATATAGTAAATAATTAGTAGAAACATTGGTATCAATGTTAAATATGGCAGACTATTTTACATGTGTTACCTGAAGAGAGCTCTCGGAGTTGTATTCCCCAAGCCCAGCCTGGGGCTAGGCTCAACTTATGCGAGCTTGGTTCAGTTGATTGTTGCTTGGAGTAGCCTGCAGGCCCACATGACTACAACATGGTTGCTCCAGCACACGTTTTTTTTTTTTTTTTTTTTGCAGGGAACTGTCCATGATTTTCACGTAATTTGCCTCCCCACTATTGAACTGAAACTGAAGTGCAAAAGGAAGCAATGAAGGTAATTCTGTGTTCATAGATTAAGAAAACTTAACAAAACGTGTTCACTATAACCTACTAGAGAATTATATAAATCAACAAGACTTAGAATCATGAGGCCAAAATCTCCAGGACTAAATATATTACACTGCTTTGTATATATGCTCACTGGTGTAGTACAGACTTTTCCTTGCTTTTCAGACCTTTAAAAGCAATAATTGTCAATGACATCCCACCTTATCTGTACCACAAATAAATTATCACACCCATAACCAAGTATAGGAATCGAACTCCTTTCTGATGCAGTAACGCTTAAAAAAAAAATGGCCTCCTGTTATTAATCTAAGGCCACACAAACAATTACACTAATGTAAATTAATGCCATGTTATGGAGTGTAAAATAGAACAGACCCCACACAACCTATAAATTATGTGAGAAATCTTTAAAGAATTCTGATAAAGAAAAAATCTAGGGGTGGTTCTAGATAGAAAACTATCAGCTGAGAAGCACATAAAGAACATTGTGCAAGGAGCCTATGCTACACTTTCTAACTTCAGAATTGCTTTAAATACATGGATGGTGAAATACAAGAAATTGTTCATGACTTTTGTTAGACCAAAGCTGGAATATGCATTGTACATAGACAAACTGGAAAAGGTGCAAAGACATGCCACTAAGTGGCTCCCAGAACTGAAGGACAAGAGCTACAAGGCGAGGTTAGAGGCATACTGTATGCCAAAACTAGAAGATAGAGGAAAAAAAAAAAAGAGGCACTATGATCACTACATACAAAAGAGTAACAGGAATCAATAAAATTGATAGGGAAGAACTCCAGAGACCTGGAACTTCAAGGACATGAGGTCATAGATTTAAACTACAGTAACTAAACAAAGCCGCCGAAGAAATATAAGAAAATTCACTTTCGCAAACAGAGTGGTACAGTACACGGTTGGAACAACATAGGTGAGCAGGTGGTGGAAGCCAAAACTGTCAGTAATTTCAAAGCATTATATGACAGAGTGCTGGGAAGACAGGACACCATGAGCGTAGCTCTCATCCCATAACTTGGGTAATTACAGTACTGATATTTTGGTTCAAGTAACAGGATGCACTGCAGCAGCTTCTAGGCTTTACATCAGTCATATACATTTAATGTATAGGAGAGGTATACCCCACATTTTGTTTGCTTGTTTTCGGAAATACAAAGCCTGTTAGGCTGACCTTTCCCAGGACAACTCCCACAACAATTGTCTAACTCTCGGGCACAGTACAAACTTACTGGTAGGTTTAAGAGGCATAAGGTGAAAGGAAACGTGTCGATGCTACGAGAATCAACCCCTGGAACTTTTGGTTGTGAACAGATTGTGCTGTTCAAGATTGTAGTATTACCATCGATTCATTAATTTATTGCTGTGGTTATAGTAACTCTTTCCTGGATGATAGGCTTTAAGCTCAACACCAAATGAAATTTTACAGAAACATCTGCAGTTAAGACTAAAGAATTGGCTTAACTATTTAGATGTGCAAAAAAAGCTACATATCTATTCGCTACATGCACGAGTTTAGAGTTGAGCCTGACAGTGATTGCACAATTGTCCATGTACCTTAGGAGCTGCAGTGTACCATATTGTATGAACAGAGCCATATGTCAATATAATCCTTGTATGACCGTAGGTAAATACCACACCCATACATAGAATAGAAAAGTTGCAGATATGCTAATACATGGTTATCATACCTAAATGAACAATGCTATGAGACTATAGTTGTTAAGTAACCCAAAACTATAATACTGAAGGGCAGTAGGAATCATACAATTAAAAAAAAATTGCAACAATGAGGGCTAGAAATCAGATTCAAATAAAGAAAAAGCTACCAAAAATTACTTACACGTTTGATTTTTTGCACTGGTTAGCCAACTGAATAAATTGAGGGTAACAGCAGCTGCCAAAACCACCTGAAGCTTAAAAATTTCATGTAACATAGATTACACAAAACCCAGGTGCTCTTCCTCTGGATACCTTTGGTAGTTACCACTCAAAACAAGTATTTCACAACAGCAATCAAATAAACCTATTGTTGCACAATACCGTATACTGTAAAGTATTTTTCAAATGAATACAATCTTAATAAATATAACTATGACAAAAACACCTATAAAAATTTAAATTGAACTATGCTTAGGTACCTGCATATTACTAATACTGTGCCAAACAATTGGGTACTTCAAGGTCCAAAATCGCCACTATAAAGAACAATTTTGCTTTGATCCAACACCAGTATCGAGAGCAGAAAAGTATATGACATTTACATTGAGAATTAGGCATGGGGGTCAGTACTAGAATCATGGAGGTCATTCAGCTACATGTACCTCCTGTTAGTCGAGGATCCTAAGACGACTAGCTCTTTCCTTGGGTTTTAAAGGAACACAGAGCTGGAAATTATTAAAGCAAAATTTATGTAAGGTATTTTGTGCTGGTGGTCCATTATGAAAGTCACTATAAAAAATATAATTTTATTTTGGAAAACAGCAGACATGTTTTGTTTAATGCAAAATATATTTTATTAATTTTAATGCCATACACCATCAATTCCTGGCTGACAAAGCTCATAGGGACTGATGTGTACAATAATGACAAAATTCACAAAAACTTAATTTGAAACTGAATTACAACCTAAAATTCAGTATTTGCCAGGAGCAAACAAAGCAGTTTACAAATTAATATAAAATTTATTTATACAAAACAGTACAGGGAAAGCAAGAAATCACAGTAAACGGAATGTCTTATCAGAAGACAGCCTGAAAAAAACCTGGAGAAATTTTGTGACAAATCTACTATATGGTCTACTATCGGCCAAAAGAAAAAGATGGTATTTCATCCATTAGAATAAAACTAAGTATACATACATATCCCTATGTATCAAAAACAATTTTACCTAAAACATTTTGTGATTATAGAAAAAGCTACCAATACTTTTGTTTAATAGTAAAAGGATAACCAGATAATAAAGAAGATATAACTACTATCACAATAATAAGGCACGTGATTGTATGATTGTTACAATGCATTTTGAGTACATGGTAAGGACAGTATCACAACACTTGATATGGTACTTTTGAACACGGATCATTAAGGTGAACATCTACCCTTACCATTAAAATTTCAGGTTATAATCAGAGGGCAAGCATTAAAATTCCTGAAACTGGTATTTTGTAACGAAAGACTTGACATGTGACCCCAAGACACCTTAGATGCTATATTGACTTTTAATACACAAAATACTGATGAATAAAGCAGTCAACATAACATTCGAAGTTTGTTACAAAATCAGTACCACCCAAAACATTCGGAGTATATTGGTGCCCAGCAAATGCGAGGCCAATACATAAAACAGTGCTTTTGGAACTGAGCACTATATTGCTATGCATACAAGGTTCCCCATGAATTGTGGGAATATCAATATAGTGTGAGCATTGCATGAGAAAGCTCATGCACGGAGACTAGATCCACTTCTTGAAGTCTGACTCCATTATACTGTACATCTTTCACTCCCGAGAATCATGCAAACTTCTACATCCACATTCTGAAATTACAATTCAGTTCATATCCACATACTCTACATTATCTAGATCAATATTATCTTAAATTACTAAACAATAAAGATCTTTTGATCTGACTATTTCTGCAGATACCACTGTACATGTATTTACAAAATGACTAAAAGTAATATGAATTGACTAATTCACAAGACTATTGAGTTGAACTGCATATAATTAAAATTTTAAATCGACATATAATTTACTTATAATCTTTTATACAAATCAAAAATTACTTGTACTCGCACTTCGATTGGCTTTTTTACCTATTAATCTAGAGTTTCTAGTGGTAGGACCTGATCTCGTGGATGGCAGAGATGGAACATTAACAGGGGCAGGTGCCACTCCAGCAAGCACACCAGATGATACGGCAACTAAGTTAGATGTTACAGTTGCGGGACTTAAACTCTGAAGACACTTCGCAGCCTCTTTTAGTTGTCGAGATAAAATATCATTTTTTAGTCTTTCTGCATTCAATTCACGTCGTAGTTGTGCACGAGACATGATTATAGGAGGGCAGAGTGTAGGATGGTGAACCAACTGTGCTGCTGATGGTCGAGAAACTGGATCAGTTTGAACCATGTGCTTGAGTAATGATTGCATTTCTGTGGAGTATCCTCGAAGTGGTTCCAGCTGTCCATTACGAATAGCATGCCACTCGTCTCCATTAAGGGGTAGAGGTTCTCCTCTTGCAGCTTCATATATTGTAAGCCCAAGAGCAAATATATCTGCCTTTGGTAACTGAGAAAAGTCTTCTTGTAGAATCTCTCGAGGAAGGTACCGACAGTCTCCCTCTTCCACTTGAGGGTTAACCATGGACGTAACATGACCAAGATCACCTGAAAAAAAAAAAAAAAAAAATTAGTATTTTCTAAGCAACACAATATGCACATACAGAAATATATAAATCAAGCTACAGATTTAATGCAGATTTGTCTAAATTTTTGGTGTTCTTAAGCCAGTTCAGAAAACCTGGAAATAAAAGTACAGTACAGTACTAGCATTTCTCTTATTTACAACATCCTTATGTTGACTACCAATTCCTACAATTGTCATTACCCTACAGTATAGATTCCAGTCCTCTTTATTATGTAATTTCTCAGTTATGGGGGAGAATAAAAAAAAAAGCAAATCTAGTAAACATAGGTCATAAATATTTGTGGTGGGACAATACTAACATTTCTAAATTCCGATACCAATTCCACTAAAATGTCTATTACAATACAATTATCAATTTAGATTCAATTAAAAAATATAGGTGAATATTTTCTGAAAATTGTCCTATTTTGGATTGGAAAATTAAATGATTAACATTATGAATATATAATTGAAACTGTATCTTTAGGTTATCTTGAGATAACATATCTCGGACAGGTACTACTTTACATTTAACTGGCATTCGTTAAACCAATTTTCCAAAGGGGCAAATGTTTTTAGGGACAAAGCATAAGCTATTACAGTATTTGATACACACATAGATCAAGAGCAATACTTGTCTCAAGGCTGACCTATGGGCACTACTTTTAATACAGTACTACTATTAATGTTTAGCCAATTTAAATCGCTTCCATTTAGAACTACTGCTATACCTGTTTGTGTAACAATAACCAACCAACTTTATTCAAGACTTGGTACCAAATGCTTTAATGGAATAATATTCCAAGAGGAACTACCAAACAACTTAAAAAATTTAGATAAAAATATCCCATTGCTTTCAGAGTAATACAGTACTGAATACTGAACTTTTTTTAAAACAAGATTTGTCCAATTCTAGCACAATCACTGCCCTGCTCAAACATTTGTTACTAATTAATAGTACAGTATAACTTAATACAGTACTGTATACCGTACCCTGTATCCAACATATCCATATTCCTTAGGTAAGATTTCTATTCAATGTTCCTCAACATGTGCACTCATGTATTATATTTCTAGAAAAATGTTTAGTACACGTATAGTATTTAGGAAATGCAAGATTAAGCCACATTTCACTTAGCTAGGCAGCTCTCGTATGGTGTTGCAAACCCAACAGAGCTATGGACACTTCATCATATTAGTTGAATGTACAGTTCAGAATGAGGTGGCTATTATATCTTATCCAAATGCAGCAACCAGCCTGTATCTAAATGTACAAGCAGTAAACTTGCCAGCTGGGTGTTAAATTAACCATTTGATGAACCTTCGGCCTACCACTAAATTTTTATTTAACACTTGCAATAAAAGACTCCTTGCAGTTCCTGTCTATAACACTAAAGTTAAAGACAAACAATAAACATCTTACCAATTTTATAGGTAACCTCTTCTTCCTCTTCTACATGTTCTTCCTCAAACCCATCATCTGCTGATTCTTCCCCTTGCAAATTAACTTTCTGCTCTCTTGATACAAAAATATTGGCTGGCTTAATATCCATATGAACTAGCTGGAGTGAGTGAATATACCTGCAAATAAGAAGTTAGTTTTGTTGAATAATTAACAAGCATACAGAAATGTAAATATAACAAACCTTATGCATTAACATCAATCTTCAAGTGCACAATCATGGATTAATACACAGATATCACATTAACATGATATATCAATCAACAAATCCTCAGGAGCCTTGAGGGTTCAAACCTATCCCTAGAGCATGTATGGGAACACCCAGCGCATAGGTTCGAACCCTCATCAAGGCTCTTGTGGATTTGTTCATCGTGATTAATACAAACACCAACTTGCATAAAATACTCACTTGAGGCCCTTTGCTACATGTAGAAGAACTTGCTTCAGTACATGTTCATTTATTTTGCTGCTCGTTTTATTCTTCTCTATCTTATCTGCCAAGGATCCTCCATTACAGTATTCATTCTGGATGATCATGTGATCATTCTCCGCCCAAGCTGAATAGTACCGAACAACATGGGGATGCTTTCCCAAGACTGCATGCGCGTAAACTTCATTTAATGCTATTCTCCTGTGGGGGAAGAGTAAAAATTTGTTTAATTAATAGCAATAAAACAGTATGCTAAAAGCTTTCTTTAATATTCATGCCTAGTAGTGTATAACACCCGAATAAAAGTTAAACTAGTTGAAATAATACTTACTCATTGACTGAACCTGCAACTGGTTTAAGAGACTTTTTGATGGCATAAATGCAGCCATCTAATCTATGCCGGCACTTGTACACCCCACCAAATTCTCCTTGACCAATTTGTTCCAATTCAAGAAATTCATGATGATATCTTGAGACATTGGCTTCATGCATTGCTAATCTTTTGGTGGGCCTCCCTGCTTCATCCTCACACTCGTCACAACAACAGTCATTACAAGAACATTCTTCAAGACTGAGGTCCATACTCTCAGGAAAGCTGGTTTCCCTGAAAAAAATTAAAACAATTAAGTAAGTGATGGAATGTGATTAATTCTTACAAGTTATTAATTAGTTACATTGATAAATGTTGGTAATTTACATATTTGCTCAGCAATAAGCTAGTATAAATAAAATATCAATAACAATATTAATATCCAAGGTTTACATACACTAAAACACAGTACAAGGATGGACATATTTCCATGTATGACTAAACCTTTTGAATACCGTACCATAAATAGGCAATAAATATTACTTCATTATAAATTACAATACAGCATTACCCAAACATACATAACTCAACCGGCCCGTAATCTGGTTTTTAAATACCGTAGTCTATACAAATCCCAATTAACTTAAATTATGTATTAACGGTAAAATTATCGCTCTAGCGCACTCTAGCACCAATGCTAACTATACCTTTACACAAGCCATTACAGTATACCATATAAAAAGGCTCCAAACCCCTAACAATAAACCCCAAGGGGTCAATTTACGGCGTGTTAAAACCCCCGCGGCCGCTGGTACTGGTCAGCGCGCGCGCCCGTAGCAACACCCACCCCACGCCACTCCCCCCTAACACTTCAAAATACTCTTCGCCTTTGTAACAAAATAGATACCATTTCACCCAATGTGACAACATCCTAGACATTATTAAGCCTTGAATCCACCCGATTAGTTACGTGGGAATGTGTAATATTTTAAATGTGTAGACCGTGAGGTTTGGCAACGCTTGTGGTGGGCCGGAGAGGAGGGGGATGCCGGGGAGGACGGAGGGAGCCAGCTCTCCTGTACCTATTACTCACCAAAACCTAAACTACGTAATCCAGACAACGTTGCAGAGGAATATATATAGTAAATATAACAAAAACATCAACTTTTGTATGATTAGAACAAGTCCTTTTAATATAATAGGGACATAAATTAAAACTGATAACCAAACCGCTGCTATACTCGCCAAGATATACTACCAAGAACCATCAAGAAATACTCGTTTAACGAGTATACAGACACACACATTTAAACGCCGCCGTTAAACCACCTTAAGACATATCGCCAGCTAGTCCTGTATAAGTGCAACAGAATGTTTCTTACCCAGGAGTTACTTCTCTCCTTGATCTTGTCCGCTTCCTTGACGACAGCAACATCCCCGTTGGCGTGAAGGGATTAATATTGGCCACCTCCTTGGCTGAACACTTGCCCTTCTGGTCCTTGGGCGGCGCGGAGGCTGCGGGCGGCGTCACCGTCGCCGCTGGGGCCGCTTGCGGGGATGCTGTCAACACTGATCTCTGTCGCAAGTTGGGGAATAATCGTGATCGCGAATTGGGTTTGTTTGAAGTTTCTGTTGTACTTTTCTGGAGGAGCGTCTTGGGCGTCGCTGGAGAGTCGAACAGACGCAATGCTCGGATTTTCTTATACGGTGGGGACTCGAGGGTCATTTGAGTGGCATTTTCGCTCTCTGGTTTCATAGCTGGTCTGGCGGATTTTCTAGGACTGAAGAGACGCGCTGGGTTAGGGCTGGTAGGCGCTATGGCAACGAGATCGTCGCCCGAGAGATCGCCGCCATAGTCTATATCACAGCCAGAGCTAAGCGTGTGAAACGACGTATTCACTTCCTCGTCGTCACAACTGTCAAAGTCTAACTTCATGGCCACATCCATCTTCACCACTTTATACAGAGCGCGCACTAACGTTTAACATAACACAAGAGCACCACACACACAGTGTCGAGGCAACGCAGGCTGTCACAAAACTGAGCACCCGTTCACCCCGCACGACTTCATCATCTCAACTCAAAATGGAAGCGGCTAGACGCGGGGGATTGTGGGAGTCGCATCTCCACCAATCACAGCCCACGCCCACTACTACAGCCAATCAGCGGCGAGCGTACGCTAGTGACGTCACATGCGCCACTCCCGCCAAATCCCAGCTGATCCTGATCACGTGACTAGGTCGCATGTTTCCTCAACTTAATTTTCCACATTTATTTCTCATCCAGGAACACGAGAACATAAAATACGGTAATAAGAGCGGATTCCTACTTTGCTTAAAGGTAGCTGAGTGTAGCTTATCTGCCGAAACAATGTAAAGTTTGCTTAAATTCATACTATGACACACGTGGCAGACTATTTGTTTTGAACCATACCTTCCCACCAGCTCGTGTAGAGCGTGATTCATTTCAACGATCTCTCACGATAGTACACCATTACCCATTAATCCCAACGCTCTTACGAGAACCGCAAGTTGTATACCACACTGCTCATGAGATACACATTCATATGTGAGTAAATGAGTGTTGCACTCTCAATGTTGCAGGTATTATCCGTTACACTATTGCATCACGGTAACTAAATTTATGTGATGCGGTGTTGATGCCGCTGCGCTGTGGCGTAGCTGCCTCCACCGCTACCACACCACCCAACACCCGCAGGTGGTGTGGTTTATTGGTGCAAAACTATGTTATTACTACAAGTACACCTATTTTATCTATCTACACCCTATCTATCTACACCCTATCTATCTACCTATCTATCTTCCTATATATCTATCTGTTTATCTATCCATTTATCTATGTATGTAGGTATCTATCTACTTTATATATATATATATATATATATATATATATATATATATATATATATATATATATATATATATATATATATTTCGTTACCAAGCATAAGTAAAAAAATATTTCTTTGGTTGAAGCGTTACTAATATGAGAACTTATTTGGTTGCAAAAATGGTATTCGGTACCTTTTCATTCACGATGATAAATGCTTTTCTACCTGCACAAAGGGATACTACATATTATTTGCGTACAATGATAATAGAATTCTCACCTCATTACAACTGATATAGACCAGTATTAACTGGATTATGATATTTTAATTTTGTTTTGAGTACAGACTATATATATATGTGTAAAGTATGTATTCTACAATGGTTTACAGTACTCCGTTGCCGCTGTACTGTGGAGAGATGTTGGGTAAAAAAGACCATATACTGACCACATTGTTGAGATCATAGTAGCCCGGTCAGAGTCCGTTGAGCAAGCCTGTTCATTCATGTTTCAATAGTACAAGCTATCTGCAGACATTTGATAACGATGATAATAATTTGATTTAGGAGAATAGTACTTCCATACACAATGAGTTACAAGCAGAATGTTGTATTTCTAGATAACGCAAGTATATACTACGCCTAAAGCTGCTAGTACGCACAGCGTTTCGGCTATTGATAAATCGGCATTGTCTGTAATTATCATACTCGGTTAAATTGTCTGTAATTATCATACTCGGTTAAATTGTCTGTAATTATCATACTCGGTTAAATTGTCTGTAATTATCATACTCGGTTAAATTGTCTGTAATTATCATACTCGGTTAAATTGTCTGTAATTATCATACTCGGTTAAATTGTCTGTAATTATCATACTCGGTTAAATTGTCTGTAATTATCATACTCGGTTAAATTGAGATGTTTCATAATGACACGGGGAGTTATAGGAGACAACGCTCAATTAAAGATTAAGAGTCTGTGAACTTTGAAGTGAAACTTAGGAGCATACCTTGAGCTGCGTCCACGTCATGGGAGTGGAATGCACCCTCTCACGCTATTGAGTCATCGTACATCCGGCGTCTGTGCGTAATGTTGCGTAAATCATGTTATGTGTAATCATCAACAAAGTTCATGTTTTTAAGGAAACTTAGTATATATGAACTTAGAAATACGCCTCGGTATATATACCCTAGCAAATCATGCTTTTTCACTAAATAGAAATTTGAAAGATAATTTTATTACTGGTTTATTACTTAAAGTAGCTCGATGTTAACAATGAACAGTTTAGTTTATTTATTGTGCACCCCATAACCATCCTGTGAGTGGTGGTGGAAAAGGTTACACACACAAGGGCTCAGGAACGGAACCATCATAAGTAGCAATATTTAATATTGTTATCATAGATCGAAATTTAGCTTCGGCTTTTAGCTTCACTGGAAATTATGAATAATGCACGTGAAAGCATACTTACAAACAAAATATTCGTAAGCTATAGTAGAAGAGCAGAGACTAAATTGAAGACATGATTGAGAAAGAAATCTCACGAACGTATGCGATGGACAGAAAGAAGAAAACGAGGAAAAAGAAAAAGAAGCCATTCAAGACAGGATTAACCAGACAGCATTATCCTCTGCCATTATGACTCATCTCAAGGTCCGGCCAGGTAACGGGTGCTCCTGTCCATATATTGTCGCGCTGCTCGCTCACTTCTATTCATGTTTTTCCAGATGATTCGGCACGTGCCGTGGGGCCAGGCATACGTTTTAGAGAACCTATTCTTCCATCGTCGCTGAAGTAATGGGGAACATGACTGAAGTGTCCAAATGCATGAGAGGGTTAAACAAGGGGGAAATATATTGCATTTGATTTTCAGAACCCGTTTAATAATGACGTAGATTTAAATGGAAGAGCGTCGGAACAGCTGGATGTAGCAAGTGGAGTGCCACAGGGGTTAATATTGCGACCAGTTTTGTTCTTTATATATATAAATAACATCAATAATGTTTTATGTTGAACAAGTATAAAATTCACCGATGACACAAATCTTGGGAGTAATGTTACATCAAGTTAATTCTCAGATGAGCTAATAAACGAAAATTAAGGCTAAGACCTAATTATAGCAGTAATTAACGCTAATTGCTAAACTAATTGCTAGCAGTAATTATAGCAGTATAGCAGTCAATAATTATAGCTAATAATTATAACAGACCTAATTATAGATGATGAAAGAGACCTGGCAGTGATAGTAGGTAGCGATTCAAAGCCAAGTAAGCAGTGTACCGAGATTGTACGTAAAAAATAAATATATTTCACTTGCGAGATCTTCAGCATTTCATTTTGAGAAAATTATCTTGACTGCACAACTCATTATACCCTTAATAAGGGCTGCGTCATAAGGACTAATATTTCTTATATTGCATACAGTTTTGATTAGCACTTTTAACGACGATAAAGATGAATAAAAATAAACCACATGAAACCCGCCATGTACAAGAACAACTTTCTCAATCTTGAATGGAGAAGAATGCGACTGAACTTAATCAAGGTATTTAAAATTAACAAATGACTCGACAATATTGGCTCAGAAAAATAATTTAATATTAGACAACGAAACAGAACGAGACAAATTTATGGTAAAAGCAAACTACCTTTGGATGCAGAGATCACACTAACGTGATTCATCAAATGAACAAATCAAATGAAACAGCCCTTGTGGATTTGTTCATTTACCTGTGGATGCAAGCGATGCCCCAGCGGGTGCATAGTGAGTAAACCTTAATAACGTTGATTCTACGTTACTCGAGCCTGTTTTGCCGGTGTATTGACTAGAACTAGGGCAATTAAGGTATTGTTAGGGGGCTTTATTGGAGGGCCGTCAGAGCTTCAATTATTAGACCCTACAAATCTGTGTGTGTGTGCAGAGGGAGGGAGTTGGTTTCGTGGACCATTCCTGGGTGAGGTGCTGAGAGGAGTTCAACGTGATGTAGTATTTTCCTCTGTAAATTAATGTAAATCTGATCTTTATATTGTATATTACTTTTTTATGATATATAGCAGGGTTCTTACATTCTTGTACAGCCACTAGTACGCGTAGCGTTTCGGGCAAGTCCCTGGAATACGACCCCCACGATGAATCGTTTTTACAGCCAAGTACTGTACCCATTTTACTGTTGAGTTAAAAGAGACTACAGTTAAGGATTTGCGCCCAGTAAATCCTCCCCGGCCAGGATACGAACGCATGACAAAGCGCTCGCGGAACGCCAGGTGAGTGTCTTGCCACTTAATAACAAAACAGAAATGTGGTGGGGAAAGTTGTTAATCTAAACTTCTAGCTATTGGCGGGAAGACCAACACATGGTGCGCACTACTTGTCTCTACATGACCTACAAACCACCAGCTTGTAATATAATAACTGCAATGTTGTTTTTATGTTTATTATAGATCAACTTTTTCATCAAACGCAGTGCATGTTATCATTTGCTTTTCTTTGATATAAATGTTGTTCTCATTTAACATCACATTATAATTAACATCTAATTATTTACGATAATTTACAAAAATAGTGTTGAAAAAATCGCAAATGTTTATTTTGAAAATGTTTACAAATGTTCACTGTAGCCTCTCGCTGTTACACAACGCCTGAATAACAATGGAATTCCTAATTGAATAATACTATTGCGACCGGCGGTGTCTTATGAGCCACAATGAGAGTATTGTGTCAAGTGATATAATCTCTCTCCCGCCTCTTCTTCAGACAGTGCCGACGGCCATCCTCGTCAACGACTCTCTTGTCTCCTTCCTCTACCTGATAACATAACTACCTTTGTCTGGATACCGAAAAGGGTTGCGTCACTCACTAATCATATCGTGTTATCACAAAATGAGCAAACTAGTGTTGATCCTCGCGTGAAAGTGAAATAGATAGTTATAAGTGTTGATAGGCTTCTGCAAATTACAGCAGCAGACTTATGAAGCGCGAGCGATTTGGTATGGGTTCGAGTCCTGGCCAGGGAGGATTTACCGGGCAATAATCTGTAACAATCCGCCCCTATTAACCTAACAGTAATTGGGTACTTGGCAGTTAACCGATTGGCAGGTCATGTTCCAGCAAAATCTGGAACATGAGATTGCACGCATTCTATACATATACTCAGTAATGGTTCATGGATCAAGGTAGTGGAGTCTATCAAGACTCTCGGGATTTGCTGGTGTAAAACATATCGAAGAATATGTTGTCAAATAGGAAATTAACCCTGTTTCAGAAGGCTGAGCGAATAGAATCCAGGGAGATTGATTGATTGATAAAGATTAAGCCACCCAAGAGGTGGCACGGACATGAATAGCCCGTAAAATCCAGGGAGATGACAGCTCTGTATTTACGGGCTACTCATGCCTGTGTCACCTCTTAAGTGGCTTAATCTTCATCAATCAATCAATCAATCAATCAATCGATGACAGCTCAGCTAACCTAGACGTATTGATTCGTCAAATCCGTACTTGTTGTTTAACTAATTAAAATTATAAATAGAGGTGGCTTCCAAGACTTTCTCTTTCAGTGCATTTCACTTCTTGGAAACGCATTTAATTATGATAGAGTCACATTATATTGCAATTAGAGAACTCCGCGCTCTATGAGCAGAAATCCTACACACTTGAATACACACAAGAAAACAAAATCCCAGAGAATTTGCCGCAGAAGATCCGTGTAGAAAATGGGCA